TAAAATAATAGAAATGGGTTAACTTAAGATGTAAGAACTAGCTAGGAATATGCCTGAGCCACTGGCCAAACACCGTTGTAATTAATACAGTTTTTGTGTGATCATTCAGGTCAGAGCGTGTGCAGCCAGGTGCCCAGGACCAGAGGAAATGCCACTCTTAACTGGGCACTTCTATCTTCTGCCCATGTGCCATAGAGACTCCTTTTCTGTTCCCATCCCAACACCGGCTACCCAACCTGAACCAAATGTGAGGCTTGTGTCTACTGAGAGAGCAGGCCTTTGGAGGGTGTCCCATGGCAGAGAAACATGAGCACAGAACGAGTCATGTGTCAGGGAGGTCAGTCCCGACGGCTCACCTCAAAGGCTGGGTGGGCCTCTTCTCTGTCCCACCCGAGATCTGCAGGGTCTTTCTGTCTCACACTGTTCTGGCATTTAGAGTTGGGTTTCCTCTTGTTCTAACTCCCTAAGAACCTGCTATTTACAATGTCAAGCTGGTGCCTATGTAGAGCCTTTGCCCCTACATCCCAGCGTCTTTGGTAGAAGAAGGTTTTCAGCATACTACCAAAGAGAAAGTAAGTGCCAAGCCAGCCGCGAACTCTTTGATCTGCAACGGTGTAGTGCCTACGAGATATGCAATGGTGGCACAAAGCGCGGGGGAGTGGTCAGTCAGTGTTTGATTAACTTAAGGCCCACTCCAGCAGATGGAACCCATACCCAACGCTGCTTGGGTGACCAAGAACCTGAGACTATATAGCCCAGGGACCTAGAGTCAAACCAAATAAGACTGGTCTAGAAAAGAGGGGGAAATGTAGTGATGAAATAACTCCTAATGGCATTCTGCCATACTCGTACATCAGTGCCTTACTCAGCCATCACCGAAGAAGTTGCCTTTTCTGGTGGGTGGGGATAAATGTAGAGACCCACAGCCAGACATGCAGAGAGAGACAGACAGACAGACTGACTGACTCAGCCCTAAATGGGATGTCTCCATCCAATCCCTCCCCTGGAGACAAGGGACCCCTGCTGAAGAGGGGGCAGAAAAAGTCTAAGAGCAGAGGGAATAGAGGACACCAAGAAAGCACGACCCTGGAAATCGACACGAGCAAAGCTCGTATGGACGGACAGAGACTGAAGCCGCATGCACGGGGCCTGCAGAGGTCTGCACCAGGTCCTCTGTGTACACACTGCATCCCTCCATTTCATTTGTATGGGATTCCTGCATGTAGGAATGGGTGGGTCTCTGACACATGACTTCTCTCATGCTCGTTTCCTTCTGTGGGTTTGTCTTCTATCCAACTTCGATGTGTTAGTTTTTATCTTATAATATTTTATTTTGTTGTATTTTTTAAAAATAAATGAATAAATGAAAGCCTAGCCACTACGGTACAGGTTAACGACAAACTGTCATTTATTCCTGCTGGGAGAGAGAAGATGAGTTTTTTGGTTTTCTCCAACCGAGTGACACGGGGTGTATCCTCCACTCTGGGGCAGGCCTCGTGTTTGGGAATAGTGGTCAGCATATACTGGTGTCCACAGTGTCACTGTGGGGGCTTCACTTGTTTGCAGCTTGGGAGGGTTTTTTTTTCTTCCTTTAGGAATGTTGTTTTATTTTATTCTATTGGTTTTGGGAGGGGTTGTTGTAATGGGGTTTTGGTATTTTTTTTGAAAGAACTTAAAGTTGGGCTGGGGAGAGGACCTGGAATGACTTGGGGGGGCGCAGAATATTATCTAAATATATTTAAATTTAAAAATTGTTTGAAATAATAAAAAATATAACCCAAAAAAGAAACGCCAGAAGTCAGCTACCACAGTGTCAAGTAGGCAATAAAGTTTTTAATAAGCTGATTTAGCTCAACTGCTGCAGGCTAAACTGTCTTCCACAAAATGTACACATGGGGGTCCCAGCCCCCAGGGCCACAGGATGTGGCTCTGCCTGGTTTTGAGGTCACTTTGGATGTGACTGGGATGCCATCTACAGTGGATCTGTGCAGAATGGAGGCCACAGTGAGAACGTCATACAGGCTGTGTTTCCAAACTCAGGGAGAAAGGCCTGAACAAGCACATGCAGGAAGTGTACACCATACCTTGATCGTGAACTTGTGGCCTCCAGACCATGAGACAAATGCATCTCCTAGGGGGGACCTTTGATTCAGTTGCTTGCCCCCAACCCCTGGCAGCCCCAGATCTCCCACAGAGATTGCCATGTGGACTGCAAGCAGCTTCCCTATCGGATTCTGGGACACACGGAAGGGACAAAGTTCCTGGAGGTTTTCACAGTAACTAACAACTTTGTACCCTGCATTCACAAGGCAAATTAAAACAGCATTTGAGCATAGGTTATTCTTGGCAATTTCCTATCCTCTAACATTGCTGCATCCGAGGGTGCCTCCTTTAACAAAACAACCTAGAGATGTCTGAAGGGGGAATTTGCCAGAGATGGTGCTTCAGGGCTCAGGGACATGATGGCTATAGAAGGTTTGGGATCAGAAGATGGCCGGCACAGGACAGGGGCCCCAGCTCGGTGCCTGGCTCTCCCTAGGACAAGCAAAGAGCAAGACCTGCATTCCCAGAGCTGGGGAAACTGCCAATCCCAACTCCCATCTTCCCTGCAGCAGAAAGCCCATGGCCAGCAGCAGAGAGTAGCACCTCTCAATGCCAGTCTGGAGCTCCTGCTTCTCACCTCTAAGGACCAAATACAGAGGCTCCAGGAGAGGGACCCCGACCCGCCATTTTCTTTGCCTGAGCTGAAGCCCAAGGAATGTCCCTGCCCTGCTAGCCAATCCCATTTTGAAACAGAGCAGGACGTGTTCTTAATAAAAGACACATGGGAAGCCTTCGCTCTGTGCTCCTTCCCAGGCCTGAGCCTCATTTTAACCGTGAACTTGCAGAAGGGAAGCCCCATGCTGCTCACAATTCTCCAGTGTCAGCACGTCCACGTGGCAGTGTGTCCAGCTCGGAGCCTTTCCGTGCCACACAAATGTTCAGCCCCATTTCCAAGCATTTCCTTTTTAAGGAGAAACGGCCTCACTCTTTCTTTACCCCACTGAGGCGAAAGTTTCTCCACACACGCGCTTTGAGACAAGTGTGATGGCATGCCGGCACTGCCCAATGCCGACGACAACTTCACGGCAGACGCAAACTGTGGAGTTCAGTATTTCAGACAGTGGCGGAAGGTCTACTCCCCACACCTACCTTTGACCCAAAGAGCCAGGAACTCTCTGGATGGTGTCGTCAGCCTTCACAGTCAGATTAAAACAAACCAGTCCAGGCTCAGAGAGACAAAACAACATCAACCCAAGACATCTGACTTGAGTGTACATTCTTTTGAGTGTAGTTTCAGAATGTTTAGGGCCAATCTGGCGGCCAGAAGCTAAACATCTTATTCATTCCTCCCTTTGTTCTTTCAGAGAAGAAAGGGCTGCCACAGTTTCTTAAAAAAATCTTTGGAGAAGTTAAAGCAGAATATGATTACTGAAGTTTGCCTATCCATATTAATGCAGCAAACATGTCACATGATATGGGTATTGATGTCCCTGCTGGAATAGCAGAGGAAGCTTTTCAAGGGGTTTTCTTTAAAGCCTATTTTGGAAAACTTAGCGTGTCTCATTGGGACATCTGTCTTTTATATTCTCCGCACCGAGGTCCAGATGACAATCCAATTCTCTCGGTGCCTTGAAAGTCAGGCCCTGCTCTTCAGTCCGTAGCATCTTAAATCATAACTTTATCGGTCCGCCTCATTTATAAGCATCATTTTTCACACCAGGGAGCCAGCTGTTCGTTCTAAAATGCATGTCGTTTTTCGTAAATAATGTTCAGGAAAATACCCAAAACCTATGGTGTATGCCTGCAGAATTCATGTTAACCGTTTTCCGACTAACACTGCAACATGCCAACTTATGAATAAAATTAGAATGCTTGCGCTTTCTGGTCATTTAATCAGCATTTTGTTAGTAACAAATTGTCCTGCCTGGAGCCATGTGTACACAAGTGTATGTGTTCGTGTGTGAGTGTCTCTCTGTGTGTGCATGTACACGCCATTAAGAAGTGCTACTTCTTCCTAATTACAGGGCAGTTTGATTGCCTCATTTAACACTTTTTAAGTAACTAAGGATCTTAAGGTTTTTTTTGTAAACTGTGTATTGGTCAAAATCTTGAACACAGGACTTTGGTATTTTTTTTTTAACATATAAGAGCTGACTGTCCTTAGAAGCGCACTCAACCCTTGAAACTGCTCTGTGTACTTGCGGATGAAAACAAACTTTGGTCACCCCCAGCTGCGGTCAAGGTTCACACTGCAGCGCCGCCGGGGAGCCAGCAGCCAACAGCCAGCAGGCGCAAGCAGACTGCTCCGAATCCAGCATGCACTGAAGATGAAAATTTGGAACCATCCCCAAAATGCCGGGGCTTTCTAGACCGTGTGTGCGCAGTTCTGTGGGCTTGGATGAGTGAGGAGTGTCTCGGTAGGGAAAGCAGTAAGTCATTTCACAGCTCAGCCCTCCCACCGCATTGATAGCTGCATTCGTTAAACATGCCCAGCCACCGGTCCATTCAAGGCCAGGGTGAGACTGCAAAGCCAGCGATGAAAACCTCTCAGACAAAGCCATTGCAGAAAGCTGCGCGGCGCTGAGACGAGGTTTTCTGATCGGTCACGGCGAGGGGCGAAGCCGACCTCCCAACTTCACGTTAGGGTGGAGCAGAACCCCGCAGGCGTCCGCACACTCAACTCTCCTTCCCGTGACCCCGACCCCGCCCCGCGCGTCGAAGCGGCCCCCTCCGCTGCCCCTGCCTTCAGGGCGGGTCCCCTTCCCGGCGCCCCGCACACAATGGCGCCCCGAACTCCCGCCGCCGGTCCCCGCGCCCGGCGCGCCGCCGTGTCCGCGCACAAAGGAGGAGGGCGCGCGGGCCCTGAGCCGGCGCGCGCCAGGTGCTCCCGCGAGCCCCGCCGCCCGCCTCCCGCCCGGGCCAGGGACCCACCCGGAGACCGCGCCAGGGCCACTTACTTTCTCTATGGTCCCGGGCAGCAGACGTTCGAGCAGTCGGCACAGGACCACCCCGTCCTTGAGCGAGGCTTGCAAGAAGACCTCGGGGTCCGAAATGGTTTTCTTGGGCGACTCCAGCACGCCCAGGGTGATGAGCCACGTAACGGTCTGCTCGGCAGAATTCATCGCTGCGGCGACTCGGGCTGCGCGCACGGAGGGGGCGCCGCGCGCGATCACCTCGGAGCGGCCCGGGCCGCGGCCACCCGCGCCCCCGCCGCCTCCGCGCCCATGGGCGGCCGCGCGCCGGCGATTGGCCCGGCCGGCCCAGCAGGTCCCGCTAGGCTCCGCGGGCTCGCGCGCGCCCTGGCCCGCTGTCAAGTGCCTTTTCATTAGCAGCGCAGGAACCTGCGGGCGCCCGGCACCGCCCCCGCCGCCGCCCCCCGGCCGCGGCCGCCGTCGCCCGATGACATCACCGGAGAAGAAAGACGCGGCGGCCGCCCGCGCGCGCCCCGCGCCAGCCCGGGCGCACGACAGCTGGCGCGCCCCCCCGCTCACCTGCGCCGCCCGCGCGCCCCGGGGCTGCGCGCCTTTGTGGGGAGGGCGGCGCGCGATTAGTAAGCGCTTCCCAGAATGCTCTCTCGAGCCTGCCCGCCGACTGCGGGGCGCGGGCGTCCCTTCGCCACCCCGGCAGCCGGCGGTGACGGCACGCACATGCTCGTTAAATCTGGGACCAGATGGGTCTCACTCTGGCAGAAGCGAGCCTCGGGGACGCGGGCGCGCGGGCGGAGCGGCTGGCTTCAAGGCCACCCGCGAGGGGCGGGGGACGGGGTTGGGGTGAGGGGCGCGGGAGACCTCAGCAGCCAGAAACCTTGCGTGACTCCACGTGAAATTGATGGTGACGTGCCCAGCCGTCAAGAGTACAGCGCAGCCTCGGGTGGGTTTGCGCGAAAAGGGGGGAACAGCGTCCGCCGGAGAGCGTGTTGACCACGCTCAGGCCCGGACCTCGGGCGTCCTCTTCTAGCGCGAAGGACGTGACAGGAGCCTGGGGGTGGGTGGTGCTCACCATCAACCGACTTGGATTTCCACTTACTCCAGCCCCCGGCCCTATGCTTTCCCTGCTGGCTGGCACTCCGCGACAGTTTAAAATAGAGCTTGCAGTGTCCCAGGAGACCTTCCCCTGGACCAGGCATGCACATTCATACTGTAACGGCTCAAGACTAGAAGCCTTGAGACGCTGTCAGAAAACGATTAGAGGTTCTACCCTCTCCCCTATGTTCTCCCAGGAGCTTCTATCACCACCATCGATTGCATTTAATAGCATCTTCTGGCTAAGTGGCTACATTTCTGTTCCAGACACAAACAAAGTATTAGAATAGTGTGAAATCTGTTGAGGGCGAGCTCCCCTGTGATGGCAGCTGCCTTTGAAGGAGCACTAACCAGCCACTGCTGCGATTCTGGTGTCTTTATCACCAACAAACCCAAGCCTCTTTTTTTTGCCCGTTTTCCTGGTTCCCTGTGAGAGGCAGCAGCCCAGCCAGTTCCCCATCCTGCTGCCCTGTGTCTATCCAGAAAGGGGCAATGCAGTGACCACCGACACCCAGGAGTCCACCAACCACGCTGCTCAAGCCAGAAGTAATTGTTTTCCTTAGTGCTGAATTGAAAACGAATGGAGAACACATTCCTTACGATTTTTAAATCCTGTTAGACCAGATCTGGGCTTATCAGTAATACTAAAGATAGTTATGTACATCAACTATCCTAAGGAATCCAGGCCTAGGCAGACCTAGGAGATTGCAGAAGTGGGGAGCTCTTGGTCAGAAAGGAGACTCACAGGCCATAAACTACACACCCTGTCGTTTTGGCAAAAGCCCCTGGGCTGCTAAAAGCTCACCTTACGGATTGCGTTCTGTTTAACTTGAGTACGTGTTAACTTCAAACGATCATTTGGAGGAGGTCCTACTAAGAGCGTTGCTCACAACTGAGTGTTTTCTGCTGCTTCACAGAGCACTTCTGGCATCCACAGTGAGCACTTGGTCACATTTCTTTGACATTTTATAAGTCCCTGCTACAAGACTGAGTAGAGGAGATGTCCTTCTCGTGTGGGTGAAGAAACAGCTGGACTGTCAGCATCTGTCACTCCAACCTCAGTCACCTGGAGAGTGGACTGGCCAGCCTCCCTACTCGCCTGAGCCAGTACTCCATAATGGATCTCCCCTTAGACAGGCAGGTGGTTGACTGAGATCAACAGATAATAGATCGTAGACGCTGGATTGATAAGTGTAGATAATACATACGGCTATCTAGGGATGTACAGGTAGATTAAGACCCTATATTATTATTGAATATTCTGTGGCTCCATTCCTTTGGAGAACACTAACACAGCACATGATACAGTATGGCCTCCGACTGGTGAAACACATTTTCTTTGGACTGCCTTTGGGCTTCCTTTCTGTGTGGCTGCTTTCCAGAGTCCCCTCAGAAATACTTGTGTCGGTTCGGCTTTATAGGGCTTCAATGCAGGCTGGAGACTGGTCACAACAAGTCAAAAGGAGTGGTGAACTGGTGGTCCCTGGGCATCGATGTAACCCTACCGGGCTTGGGTTCATTTCCTGAGACTGCTGTGGTCTTCAGGAAATGGAGTAACTCCAAACAACAGCAGAAACGTGTTCTTTCACACTTGAGAGGTTTATAAGGTCTGAGGCGGAGTGTCTGCAGTACTGGTCCCTCCTAGAGGTGTGGGAGGATCTGTCCTGCTTCTACTGGGACCACTAGTTTTGGGGCACCTTTCCTTGGATCACACCTCAACTTTCCAATCTCCATCCTGCCTTCTCATGGCACGCACTTCCTTTCTATGCCTAGATCTAAACATCCCTCTTCTTGTAATGCCAGCCACAGGGTTTGGAGCCATCCTCTCTGATCCAGGATAACTTCATCATGACTTGATGGCATTTTAAAAGACACTACTTCCAAATAAAGTCCCACACTTGGGCACTGGGAGTTATGGTTTGAACATGCTCTCTGGGGTATGCCAGCCCACAGTCAGACCATTTGAGGAGCCTCCAGGACCCCACCTCGGGTGCATCCACTGGAGAACAGGACAGAGCTTCCCACCATCTGTCCTAAGGCCTCTCTAAGATGTGCCTGACTCAACAGGCTCTGGTGTGGCCAAGAATCCAGCCGTCACCCTCTGTGATTCAAGGGCCATCAATCACCCTCCCGGACTCTGGAATTCTCTGGGTGTGGTCAGTCTCTGTTGTTTGTCGGTTGAAATTTGGAGAGTCTTGTGTTGTGGTTCCAGCAGAGAATTCAAGGTGGGACACCCACTCCTGTTTGCCCACCAGTTTCGGCATCATGCCCTATAGAGGCGCGTTCTGATTTGTGGAATCTGAAGGACACGCCAATGTTTCCGTTGTTATTCCCGCTTACTTGTGTCTTTTAATGCCTGCTCTGGGATACTCACATTTATGGACAACTGGTCACACCTTTTGTTTCTCACCTGCCTTTCAGAAGTATACCTGGGCATGAACCTCTAATCCTAGTGTTTAGTGGGGGAGAGGCAAGAAGATCCCTGGTTCAAAGGCAGCCTGGCTACACAGCAAGGCCCTATCTCCAAAAAAGGATCTTTAATAGCAATTGTTTAAGAAAAGAGAAATATTGGGGGGGGGCGGTGTTCGAGACAGGATTTCTCTTTAGCTTTGAAGCCTGGAACTAGCTCTCTGTAGACCAGGCTGGTCTTGAACTCACAGAAATCCTCCTGCCTCTGCCTCCCTCCCAAGTGCTGGGATTAAAGGCGTGCACCGCCACTGCCTGGCAGAAAATAGAAATATTCTCTCCTCTCCCAGACAGAGAACAAATTTTTCTGATTGGCCTGCAGATTAAAAACCATGTCTTCCTGTGGGACAAAGTTTGGGCAGGTTTGTGTATCCTATAGGGACTGTTTCCAGAGCTCAGGGGACCCTCATCTGTGGCACAAGCCCACCGTGTGCAGCATTAACCTGCGCAACTCCAGCTCTGAAGACACAGCAGGGAGGGGCAAATGCACATTTGAAGCCCCCGCCATCTACAGAGAATGACTCTAAGACCCTCTGTCCAAAGCCCTGGGAGTCACACTGCTCCTAGCCACAGCTAGAGTGCTGGGTAGCTGTCTGGATTGACAGGGAGGCTGACCTCTCAGTCCCCTGCAGTTTCTCGCGGTGCCTCATCTGTTCCAAGAATAACACTCCATCCCTTCCCCCTCCTATCCTGCTTCCCCTCCCTCTGGAGAGAACCCCACTGTGTCCCAGGGGTTCTATAAAAGAACGCTTCCTTTCTTACTGCTTCTAAAAGGAGTTATAATTTCCCTCTGATTATCTCCTTCACCACAGTGCTACAGAAGAATGTACTTCTTAATAGTCAAGAACCCGATGTCGCTGGCCACCTACGTGATCCGGCAACAGAGCTCGTAAATACCATTTCCAAACCTGGTCCAGGATCACACGAGTGAGTGCCTGCTCACCGTCCACGAGAGTGCATGTTATATAAGCCTTTGTGCCTAAAGAAGAAAAGCTCTTCTGGAAAACACTTGTGCACTCACAGTATGTATCAAGAATAGTTTCCATGCACCCCACACCCAGGACGTCCAACCAAAACCACCCACGCCAACAGAGCACACTTTCAATACACGCCTCTGAAGGTGAGCAGCTACTAACTGAACCAAGTGTGTCATGAGACTCCCCCCAGACTTGGACAGATAAGTCCAAGTAAGGGGGGAGTAGAGAGAGGTGTGTACAGTGTATGGTGTGTGCACGGTGTGTGGGGGCGGGCTGTGGGGGATATGTGCGTGTGCTCCTATGGTATGTGTATAGTATTGGTGCATGGTGCGTGCTCTTGGATGTGTGTGTGTGTGTGTGTGGTGTGGTGTGGTGTGAAATGTGTGTGGACTAGGGATAGGTATTCTATGGCTATACCCATGCAGCCACCACCACAGTGTGGCTGTAGCCCTGTTCCAAATCACACAGGCTCCCTGGAGCTCAACTCTAAAGTTGTGCTCTACCTACTGAGCTTCTGAGTCCTTTCTGGTCCCTGACTTCTAAATTTTCTTCCCTATGAGTTCTCAAAGGCTTATTTTTCAATCAAGTTCTATGTAAATTCCAAGCTGCTTTAGAGAGTTATGTATATTTGGCGTGCAGTTTGTCTGCCTTTTTCATTTGCTACACCGTGAGTCCATTCACAATGCTCAGTTATCCTGATTTTTCCATCTTTAGCTTCAGCAAACCTCTCTCTCTCTTTCTCTCCCCCTCCCTCCCTCCTACCCACCACACTCTGTTTTTCAGTTGTTTGTTTAAGACAACCTCTTGCTACATAGCTCAAGACCCCTCCTGCTCTCAAGAGCTGGGTCTGCAGGCATGCACCATCATCCCAGTTCTATGCAATGCTGGAGCAAGAACACAGGACTCCCTGCTTACCAGGCAGGCTCTCCTCTGACTAAGCCATGTCCCCAGCCTCAATGTGTGCTCTTATAAAACCTGGCACAGATAGCCAGACAGTCTCTCCAGGAGGTCTGTGTGCCCTGCAGGTCCTCCAGCCTA